GAGTTGTATGAGCCCCTAATAAAACGATTAAAAAACAAAGAAAATCATCCCTCCCTCTTTCATCAGTCAGATGAGCTTCTCGAAAGAGTTGCCTGCAACATAGGTACAAATGTGCTTGATCCATTTGATGGATGGATTGTTATAAGAGCTGTAAGAGCCCCCAATAAACTGATATATTAAAAAATTTTTATTAAAAAAAAGAAATATGTAAGTCTCAGATAATAAGCAAGAATGCTTATTTTTCGTAGAAATGGAAACTAAAGCTTAGAAACAAGTCAAAGGCATTTAGAGTCTACTATGTAGTGCTAAACAATTTTTAAAATAGTAATATGTATTCTCCCTTTATTACTTTTTGTACAAACATATACATTCCTTTTTATTTTACTGGAATTATGTGGTGTGCCCACTCTGGTCAATTCTTAAATTTAACAATGTAAAACAAAAAACAATGTATGCGTTTATGTCTTCCTTCACAACACATGTAAGTTTATTGTCTGGATTACCATAATCTAGTTACAAAGGAACTCTTAATGGAGTTTTGACTTTATCTGCTGTTTATTATACTCTAAAAATTTCAAATATAAAATCGAGAGAAATGGGGAAACTGTTTTACCTTGATACGAACTTCATTGGCCTTGGGGGGAGCAACCTCCACCTGCTCAATGGAAAAGGGTTTGTTGATCTCCCACAGCACAGCGGCTTTGCATTTTATCACCTGGAAATCAGATGGAAAGGTCATAGCAGCTTCCCATTGATTGCGAAGTCAAGGATTATATATTTTCAACTTGGTATGAGCAATATCTAGCCCCATGATGGGTACAAACAACCCCACCAAAGAGCACCTGTGATATGTAAGGAGAAAAAAGTACTTAAAATGTGTAAAACAATAACATGCATAAAGAGAAACAAATAACCAAAATAGGACTTGAGATATATATATATATAAACCTCATCTCAAGTCATATATATATATATACATATAATATAAAACTTTTTACCCTCTAAGGTTGTTTATAACATATCTTTCCTAATGCTGACCTGAAATTGCTTGCTTACCCAAAAATATTGACTTGTACATGAGGTTCTCAGTTATTATTATTTCGTTACAAACCCTCTTACTCAATTTTCTGTTTACGCCAACACAGTCTGACTTCATACGAGGCACTCAATTGCCTATGTGTCTAGGACAGAGTCTCTCCCCCTATTTGGCCTTGAGTTTCCCTTCTAGCATTTCTGTGTGCTTTTTGCCTCCCACTTTTGAAGCTTAGCTTTGGCAATCTTGTTTGTTATCCAGTTTATGTGCAGGAACGCCTCCCAGATTAGGGATAAGCCAGCCATACAGAGGGTAAAGATTGAAGGTGAAAAGCACAAGTACACACTTATATACGAATATATTTATTTATAAAACTTTAAATAATTAAAAATGAGAGACCGCTGTGCTTAAATTTCTCAGTAGTATAGCTCAACCTCACATATTTTAAAAGGTTAAGTGCATATTTTCAATTTGAGAATGTACTTTAGAGACTTGATTGTGTCTAGCCTACTACTGCCTATTGCTCTGATTGGGAAGATAGAAGGCCCTGGGCAGCATGGGGGAAAAATGTAGAACAATTCAAAATCATGAAAAAGCCCAGATTTACTGGTCTGACAGAGGGTAGAACCCCTGAGGCTGTGAACCCTGGTGTCCTTTCAAACCTGGGCCCAAACCCATCTCTGGGGTTCACCTGGCAGCTAAATAACACACAGGTGTATGAAGTGAACGGTAACACTTGTGAGGAAATGCAGGGCCGTGAATGATGTAACAGGGCTCTTCTAGCCATAGTCTCTGGGATGCCCACCAAAGACCTTCACTTTCCTGATGGATCATGGTAAGAAAGGGGTAGGGAATATACTGATTGGATTACATTATTCAGCTATGAGTGGCTATTAACAGGGTGCATTGTTATTGCTAGACTGCTGGGTCTGAAAGGGACCCTACCAGAAGAAGGAGGGAGGATCTCACTACCAGTAAAAGAGAAGCGTCAGGGGCCTCCAGACTCCTGCGCATTGAGCCTCCTTGATCCAGGAGACAGCTGTGTACAGAGGAGTAGCAGCAGTAGAATCAGGAGCGAGAGCCTGAGATAGAGCAGTGGAATTCCCAACCCATGAAGCAAGCCATGCTGGGTGCTTTGGGGCAGGAAGCTGCCCTGTTGACTGTGGGGCAGAATGGCATGTCCTTTAGGCATTCATCGGCAGGCCTGAAAGAACTTTGTAACATTGCCCAAGGAGGGGCCCCAGCAGAGGATGAAGGTCAGAGAAAGGTAGGTCTCCCAGTGGGCATGGCAAAAAAGAAGCCATCCTGAGGGAACAACTGAACAGTTCTTTTCTCAGTGGTAACCCGTGACCCTCATAAACCCCATAACCATGAACAGCAATTCAAAGGCAACTACTATCACACATCAGATATTACATGAGGTTTTTTTTAATGCTTTGAAATCCATATTCCTTTATTAAGAGATTTCATAATAAGGTTCAAAGGATATTTCACAGTCCTTGAATCAGATTCCGCTCATGAAACTTTTATCAGATTGAACTTTCCACTTCATAAAAAGAACATGATTACGAAGAATAGCACATTTCAATGACGGTTTCTTAATAAAATATAATTTCTTGATTAAACACACTTTCACTGTTAAGAGTTGTTGTGGTTAGTTATAATTAGTTAATAATCCACTATCATTTGAACTACTGAGCATTAGTTAACATAGGTGAGAAAGAATTCAGTACATACAGATGTTTTACCTTGTTACAGATGCATGGGAATAAGTAATTTCTATTCTAGTTTAATAGATCCTGTATATGCACCATATGGCATATAAGTTTGGTATGTCAGGACATCATGTTACTAACTTTGGATATGAATTTTAAATTAGTCATTTCATAGTATATCCTTTTGTCTAGGACAGTAACAAGGTTATATTTCAATTTTGGGTCACTTACTTTTCCTGCTGTGCTGCTGGTGCTCATGTTGTTTCTGTCTTCTGCAGCAGCTAGAGGAACTGGTGAATCCTTGCTGGCTTCCCCTGCTAAGTGCACAGCACATCTAGTGTGCAGAGATTTTGCCTGCTCATGTAACATCCAATTCTACACACGTGAGCTGGTGCTGTAAGCCACACCCATCAGGTTATTCTTAGACCAAGTCAAATCAGAAAGGAAAGTCTTTTGAACCAGCATTCAAAAGCTGACATTGTTTGAAGGAAGTCATTTTCAGATAACGTCTTGATTTCGCTAGGCTAAATATTTCTCTACACCTGC